CCTTAACATGATTAGACGTGAACATGAAAAAACCAGGGAAAAAAATCAGAAAAAGGAAAAAAAAAAAACGCTAGATGAAGACGATAACAAGAATTGCAAGCTATGACATCAGTGCGTTTGTAATCCCCACACAATGCGCATCCTGTCCAGTGAATGTCTAATGTGCGTACGCAGGGCGGAAGCCGTAGTTTTTTCTCCCCCGTCTTCTTTTTGTCGCGAACATCTTAGCACAGCTGGATTGACTGTGATTTACCTAAGGAGATTGGGGGATTACAATCGCTGGGGCTTTGCCCGGTCAGAATTTTTTTTTTTTATTTATATTTTTCACCAGAAAACACGTCTTAGGCGTCAAGGTCGATAAGGTTATTTTCTTATTTTATCCGTACTCAATTTTATATCTATATATATTTTTTTTGGTGGCTTTTGTGATTGCGTGTACATGTACATGCCGGTGTCTCGCGCTGCAGCGGTGCTTTCGCGCTGGCTTAGTACCAACTGTGTTTGTTTTGATAATGCACGGAGGAAGCCGTACCAAAAAAAAAATTGGCTTTGTTGGGGCGGGTGACTTCTGGCGGTTTTGGCAGTCAGCGATTACTTCTGCTTCTACTCCCCTGTTCGTGCGCGTTAGTTTGAAGAGCACGGTTCACCACATTTTGAATGAGAAAGATTCTTTTTGAATTTATGTACATGTAGTTCATGTTCGCTTCTTTTTTTACCGTTTCTGGGTTTTGAGTTTTGTTGGGCTTTTTTGTACTTGTACCTTTATGCCATAAATGTGTACCTTCTTTGGGTCAGTTAGCTGTTTTGTGTGTGTTTTTTTTTTTATGAAAGGACAAATCTGAACAATGCTTGCATTTGATTTTTGCCCCCATTGTTCACGGATGCAGCTGGCACGAAATAATGTTCTTTTTTTTCTGGTCACATTTGCCGCTGTGGGCTTTGGCGAACTGTGGCATGGAGACATTCTATTGAATCCGACGGTGTTGTGATTTGAATTTAGGCGGGACTACATGTTACTCAACAGAATATGCCAAATTTGCGACGCTGTCGAAGCGGCAGAAAAATATTTTAGAGAATGGCTGATTGAGGTGGTGGTTTTGATAGCCACTTTATAGACTTCCGTGTAGCAAGTTACTGGTTCATTTGCGAGTCACACATATATTGCTAAATCATGTATTTATTAAAAAGTTATGTTTTTATCTGCTTGATCTGCGGTTACATTCACTGGCCTGGAGGTTGGAGGGAAAAAATTGTTTCTTCTTCGGTGCCAAACCGGAATGTCACGCAAACGCACACCAAACCCCGTGCCCTTAAGCAGGCTATTCAACGGTCGCGCTCCAGTGATCGGTTGAAAAATACATGAGATGGTGGGACTTGTGACTCGTTCGTCATTCAGGGACGTGTTTCAATTTGTCAGGGGTTGGGCTGGCTGGCATGCATGCTGGCTGACATGAGCTCGCAAGAGCAAATCCATTCATGAAATCCATTCATGGTCTGATTCAGTTTAAGTTCAAGTACGCTCGGATCAGAACAAGTGAGATTTTTTTTTTAGAGTTTAGAAACGTGAGACACCTGTATGAATCATAATTGCTTTTTGGGGTTTTTGAAAACCATTGATAATTGAAATCGAATTCTCAAATGTATACTGTTATTTGAATCTGTAAACCTGAGAAAGGAAAATACTTTAATACTGATGTTAATTTTTTTCTCACTTACTGATGTGCAGTGGTGTAGTGAGAATTGTTTAACTCTAACTTTTGAGATTAACCCCTTGAGTGATTTACTAGGAACCTTCCTCACTTGTGCATAACCCAACACCATGTTGTAACTCAACACCAGAACTGTTGGACTCTGATTATGGTTGCATGCCTGACACCGTGTGAAGCATAATCAGTTTACTAGTGCAGTACTCACTCCAACAGATTCCAACAAAACATGCAGTTGGATCTTGAAGAGTTGGGGTGGTTGGGGAAGATGAGGGGTTCACCAAATGTCTTTCCCCAAAAATTTGAATGTGCCAGACAACCGTGCTGATGGTGAAACCCACATTGACATTACAGTGCGCCACACGCAAGCAGGTCATGTGCAGAGAGCGCACCAAGCGCGTTGATCAGATACGTGGCTATACTTCCCTTCATTCCCCCTCCCTTTCCCTAACTCTTTTTTTAAAGACTTGGTCATGGGGGTGGGGTCAAACCCCCTCCCCCGCCACTGCCGATGTGTCACAGCATAGAGTAGATTTTAGAGAAAGTTCTCACAAACTTTATGGGGTCTTTTTGTTACTCGATCTCAGTTCATTAGGCCACCATCTGTACAGCGAGCCACACGTCAATGTTCCCCGACAACATTCACCGAACATGAAAAGTGCAAATGTTCACGGAAGGTGCAAAAACGTGGAAATGGTTGAACTCGGTTCACGCAGCGCTGCCATTAGGGCTCGTCTGTGATACGCCGGGAAAAAGAGAGAAAAAAAAGGCAGCACAGAGTCAGATTGTGTCAAGTAACTGGAAAGAACTTCCGCTCGCCTTGAAGTAGACAACAGAACGGTGCTGCTACAATACAAACATGGGAGAAGGGTGGGGGGGGGGTGACAATGAATGAAAAGTCAATGTCGTCGGAGCTACGGTTTCGCACAGCCGGTGCTGGACGATATTTTATATTGACAGATGTGCCATGTCATTGCAGTTGAAAGAACCCAACTGCGCATAGCGGGTCCTTCCATTCTCTGCATTGTTGTCCCTAGCATCCCCCCTGCGTGCTGCGTGATCAGTGCTAACACCATAAATCAGCTCGCTGTGCAAAGAGCAAAAAGTGTAAAAAAAAAAGAAAAGAAGAAAGGGCTTAAAAGTTCGAAAAAGAGAGGAGCTGTACTTTCACTCCTGACGCACCATTAAGCTAAGAGATCAAAAGTACAGTGGGGTTAATAGTGGAGAAGGCATTCATGTAAAAATGTGGCTCTACCAGTACCTACCGGTAGCCGCGAATGCCAGACTAGAGTTGTATAAATTTCAAGTTCAGACCTTTGTCATATTTTTTGTGCCCACCAACTCCTGACAATGTACCGCTTACGGTATGAGCGGTCGGTTTTACCATTGTTTCCATCCACGGCAATCATTTGCTTGAAAGTTACCCTTTTTAAAAGTTAAGCCCTCTGTTTTTTTGTTGTTTGTTTGTTGAAGTGCCAAGCTTGCCAGTCGCACATGTGTGGGTGTGCGTGTTTTGTGTGTGTGTGTGTTTGCAGAGGTTGAAAAGATTTAAAATTAACGACCCCGAAATCCATGTTGATTCTACATTGTAAATCCTGGATTCGGCATAAATCATGACGTGCACAGATGGTGCCATGAGAAAGCAGCAAAGCACTTTAAGAGAGACATCATTGTCAAGGATATGAGAGTTTATATTGATCGAAAAACTACTGTCACCTGATTTTTATTTATTTAAAAAAACCAAAGTCACCTGTTAAAAGATTAGAGGCTACTTACCGGTACCGGTAGGGTTAGAAGCCCAAGGAAACAAAAAAAATAGACATGTTTTTTTCTTCTTCAAAATTGGCTTCTGATGCCTCAAGTTGACTTCCTGTTGTTGTACATGTACTTTATTTCTAGACGAGTGTCGTGATGCAGATTTCCGTATTTCGATACTGTATTCGATACTTGCGTATTGCGATTATCGTAACTTGTGATGTACATTACCCGGTACATGCACAAACCCTAGAAACGAATGGACACAGAAAAGGTGGAGTCATCACCATGTCTTTCTTAGATGAGTGACTACCTCATAAAACACAGACACGACAACTTGAGGAAAGTGCAGAAAATATTGTACAGCGTGTGTCATTAAAAACGCAGGATTAGAAACAAAAATATTAAGAATATAAACCACCCCTATTCATCATAATGTTAACCCTCTTTTCAAAGTACCTTTCCTTCTCTTCACTATGCTTTTTATCCCATCTCATTTGGACAATCCTGTCCAGAGATAGAGTACATTGAAGAAGGGTTATAAATTCCAAGCTGGTCTGATTTGTGAAATCACACATACCTAATGAAAGGTGTGAATTCAGTACAGGTGAAAGTATTTGTGGATCACAAAGAAGGACATGTGTGGCAGGATTAGGCTTACATAATCCTTCAGTCCACAATCAATGTTATTAGTCAATAATTAATGTGCTTTGAAACAATGATAGTCCAGTTATTAAATTTAAGTGATACTTATCATCAGTTGTTTCAAAGAAAGTTTTGTTCTGGTTTAATTGTCTTCAATGCATACCTGCATTGTACATAACTGGTCGTTGTGTTAAGGTCATTGAATCAGACCAACCCGCTTCAGAAGGGCTTCACAAAATTTGTCATAACTTTTGAACCAAAAGTCCAAATTCCACCAAACAAAAATCTTGTCAAAGATGAAATTATGGACAATCAAATCCTTATCAAATTAGGCACACCAGTAGCATAATTTTCTCAGAAAAAAAATCGCTTTGAATCCTGCATTTTTATTGACACACGCTGTATACTTCTTAAGGTTGTTACTTTCCCTTTCCTTTTTGCCCGTGTCTCTTTCTGTGTCTGATGGTACTACCGGAAGTAAATATTGAAATGGGCAATTCAACGATTACTCATGTTACATTTTTTTATGTACTTTTTGAGTTTCCTTGGGCTGTAATTACCTTACTGAAAAGGTTTAATAACTGTTGTCCCCATGGTAGATAGAGTAGACCTAGACCTACCTAAGCACCAAAGATGACATCCAGAAAAATGTGTTATGTATGATAAACAAGACGCACAAAATCGGTTTCGTAACGTGGAATTGCCCAAACGAAAAATGAATAATACTGCTACCTAAACTGCTTACTGATGACCGCATTGACCTGAAATACAAAATGTACACGGTATACAAATCCAAAAAAAAGGTTTTCCTCTAGAAGAGTTTTTCACCCAAAAGCAAAATCAAAATTCATTTTGCATGTTAGTGTCATCTTTGACTTATGAGGAATGTTCATCTTGATCTCTCCTGTACAGGCGAGCAAAATCTCCATGGTGCACCCCAGCGGGCCGTACCCACCCTCTCTGGCCCACCTGATGATGTACAATCAGGACCACTACCCGCCGGGAACTCCTCCCCCACCCCATCTGGCAAGCGCCATAGAAGTCGACGCTAAAACAGGTAAACAAAGTCATACAATATGAGTTCTACACATGTATTTTATTTCAGACAACTACATGATAGATGTAATAATGAAAATGGGCAAGATTACCATATGCGAAGTTCACTAATTTTCCTCTGTATTGACTAACAAGCCCCCAGATAGCAATTTCATGTCATCAAAGTCAATTTGAGCAGTGAGAAAATGCAAGCATTTTCTTAGAAAACACTTAGAATTTTTCAGTTCACTCTCATAGGGTTTGTACACAGAGTGTTGAGTGAACTTCGTATATATATGGAAATCTTTCCATAAAATGTTACTTTTAATACCTCTGAAAGAAACAAAATGGCTACAACATTATCATGTGTGCATCAAAACAAACTCTTTGAACTTCAGTCATTTTTAAATTTTTACCTTGTCTGAGTGTGCTTTCATTATTTCATTTTTTGGTCTGATTAAACTCCATACATTTTTACACTGTACATGTACATGCATGTGCCCAACACATAGAGCCTCACCATAGACATGTGTATATTCCACCATATCCTTAGATAAATAGCGGACACCGATGTTGTCCTACAAGAAGCCAGTGTGTGCAATGTCCAAATGCTTGCATCTCCTAGTAACTGAGGACCTTCTGGTCTGAGAAGGGTCCCGTGTCATTACGATACGAATTAGGCCACAAATATTTGATTTCGTGCATCTGTACAATGTATGTGTTGTTCTGCGGCATAACTTACTGTTTGATTCTTTTTTTTCTATGGGAGTCTAGACTTTGAGCCGAACGTGTCATTAAGGATTTGGCACAATTATTGAATATTTGAGCTCTTTTTTCTTCTCTAAATCTTTAAAATGTGCAAGTTATATCAGTATGGCTTAATTTTTTTTTAATTTGTTGAGTCTGTGACTCGTCTATTTCACACACAAAAATTTGTTTGTGAAAATTGTGATTTGCAGAATTGAATCTGCTTAAAGCTACGTGTGTTTGAAAAGTTAGAGTACCCACCCCCCCCAAAAAAAAAATTAATCATTCAGTTTGTTCTTTTCAATGATTGTATCAAGTATTTTTCAAATTTACACTTGAACTTGGGTTGCTTCTACGATTCTACAACTGCATTTTGTTGTAAACATTGGATGCAGAGTTGCCAAATTTGTACAGATATGGGGTGGTATTTTTTTGGGGGGGGATTGGGGTTTGGGTTTTTGGGTGGTTGGGATTTTGATGATAGGACTACCGGTACTTTTGCTAGGGTGTTAAGAAAAATGATGCGTGGAGACCTGGGTATAATATGGAACAAAAGATTGTAAAGGTCTCCACAAGACAATTTCTAGAGGTGAATAGGTTAGGTCTCCACAAGAACTTAACCAAATAGATATGGATTTTACTCAAAAACTAGGAATTTACAAGGTGTATACTTATCTGTCACAGGTTGAAGTATTTTATGTAAGGGATATTGGGTCGGAATTTCAACCCAGGCAAAAACATTCTGGTTAAAATCGGAGCATTTTGAAAATAACTTTCGACCCTCTCTCGATTTTGTACACGAGGACAAAGCGATGTCTCCACAAGGATACAAATTTGAGTACGTGTGTACTCTGAAATAAACATTTTTCAAGATATTTGTTGAATTTACATGCAATCATTCCTTTTTTGTGTATATGTATGTTTAAAGACAGTCATATGAAAATTTGATTGCGCATGTCCCAAAATTCTGTGATGTATTGTCGTTTTTACTGGCACCCATTCCTATGTCATTAACCTTTGCTCCTCTTTCAGCAATTGCAAATAAAAAAAAAATGAAAAAAAAAAATTCATTTAACATGTACGTGCTCCAGTGTGTGCTTCATCACACGTTGGAGGGTCGGCCTGTTTCTAGAGAGAAAAAAAACCCCAGGATTTTGTCATCTATCAAATTGTTTGCATAGATGTGTGGGGAAAATTGCTTGGTGAATCAAGTGGGTTTTTGCTGTCATTAATTTTGTGTTCAGTTCAAGATATGAAAAAAAAAATATGTTGCCATTTTTTTTTGATGAATAAAGGCATTTCCTGTGAAGGCATTTCCTGTCATTGAGAAAAAAATAACAAAGTATCAAGAATTTGAAATAATATAATGCTTTTCACCATTCTTTCACACCCAAGAATTACCAGTTTTCCAAGAGTATTGATATTTTCATTAATTGAAATGTTTTATTTTAATTAATATGAACAACAATGGTGAATCCAAATATGAAATTATCCGTTACGTGTACAAAGCTGGTGTTTAGTTATTGGCTTGAACAGTGAAAACAGGAACCTCGCAAAATACTTCATACCGGTCTCGTGATTGGCCACAACACTCCCATCTGTTGAAGTTCCAGCCAATCACTTTTCTCCTTCTTTAACACCAAACAGGTATTCCAAGACCCAGACATTCATCTGAACTTCCACTGTACCATCCTCTGTCTCCCGGCTCGTTAGGCAACGTACCACATCACTTGGAAGTATACAACGTGCCTTGGTGAGTATTACCGTTGTTGGAAATGTTGTCACCCCTCCCCCTTCCCATCCAACACCCACGACGAACCCAACCCCCACCACCAACCACACCCTTACCCCACCCTCCTATCTCCAACCCTTCCACGCCCTCCCATCCCCACACCCACCCATCCCCACCCCACCCTTTTTTTAAGAGCCAGAGTAAAGAGGTGCCGCTTTGCTTTTCAAATGAGCCAAAAGTTTTTATAATTTAATATCTGTACCCATTTTACTCTTGGGTTGAAAAGGCAAGTAGTGATGAAATGTCCGAGTAACTTGATCATTTTTATAAGATTTTTCGTCTCCTGATGATGACTAGAGCAGGCTAGTCGAAACGTTGAGACCAAAGACAAGTTCTTTTAGCAGGACTATTCTTACCAGAACTAAAAACTACTTAGCGAAAGTTGATAACAAGCAGGACAAGTTCTTATCAGAACTGAACATTTACTGAGCGACAGTAGTTATTACCACATGGTGTTACCGCAAACCAAAACGATATTCATTATTTTTATAACCGGCCAGCCGACCCCTTGCAAGCTCGGTGGTCAAGTGGTTAAGACCTCTGCTCTTGTAAGCAGAAGGTCGTGGGTTCGTGTCCCCCCAAGCACAAGCTTGTGAATATGCAAGCTTTCAAACAGAGCTGAGTACACAGTGCATATAAAAATAACATCAGTGAATGGCAAAAAAATAAATATTTTGTCTTTGTTTTTCCCTTTGTAGGCAAGGCCAACCCTTCTACCCCCTCACAGGTGCTCTCAGGTCCCCCTACCCAACTCTCATCAATGCGTCAAGTATGTCGCGCCTCGGCCACCCTGGCCTGCCCCCGCCCCACCACGGTATGGCCGTCACCGGTATCCCGCACCCGGCGATTGTCACGTCCGGCACGAGGCAACAAGACACACAACAACAGAGTAACGACAGGTAAAGATGACTTTGTTTTTTGTATATTCTCATTTATCTTCATTCTGTAATTTTTTTAAGAGAAGTCTATAGAAAGACTGGAAGTTTTTTCAGGTCACTGAAGCAGACTTTGGAGTTTAACTTCCCTTTAGCTTAGTCAAAACTACGCCAAAAATCACTCGGGTGGGGATCGAACCACAGTAAGGAGTGTCCTGAGGCTGAACCAACCTACTCTGAAAGAAAAAGGAGTCCAGGCAACACCAACATTTAACACTAACATAACACCAGCATAACACCAGCAAAATCAGGCAACCAGTACACCAAAGAGGGTTTCTTGAATGTCCAATCACTCCACTTTCTCCGTCCGTCCATCAGACAACCCCCACCAAAGGAGAAGGAATCCAAGGCGTCGGAGAAGCTGCGGCGCCCGCCTCACATTAAGAAGCCGCTCAACGCATTCATGCTGTACATGAAGGAGAAACGGGCCAGCGTGGTCAAGGAGTGCACACTCAAGGAGAGCGCTGCGATCAACCAAATACTGGGCAGGAGGGTGAGTCTTTGGTTTCTGTGGTGTTCGTGTTGTCTTGTTAAAGAGGTTGTGGAATGCTCGAAGACATTTCCGTCATTTTTCGGGTATATGTAGCCTAAGGTGTGATGAAATAAAAACGACTATTGTTTCTGTCATGAAATGAATACAAAAGGTACTTTTGAGAGCTGTTCGGGTCGAAACAGGACTGTTTCGGCCCGAACAGTTTGTGTAAAAGTCGTCGTTGGGGGCAGCAAACAAAACATAGTAAATCGTGATGTAATAAACAGGACTCCCTATGCAGCGTAGTATAAACGAGTCCTGTTTATTACGTCACGATTTAGTATGTGTTGTTTGCTGCCCCCAACGGCGACTTTTACACAAATTGCACGTTCGGGTCGAAACAGGACCTGAAAACAGCTCTCAAAAGTGCCTTTTGTATTCATTTCATGACAGACACAATAGTCGTTTTTATTTCATCACACCTTAGGCTACATACATGTATACCCGAAAAATGACGGAAATATCTTCGAGCATTCCACAACCTCTTTAACTTCCAGATACAGGGAATTTGTTTTGTGGAAGTGTTTTGTTAGAGTATTCATGTACACCATTTGGAGCATGCTACCCATGTATTTTCACAGAAGCCCCCTTTAATGGCAAAAGCATTGTGTTAGCCATTGTACAAAGCAACTGTCCCTTGGCAAATTATCTGAACAATAGCTAGCACAATGATTTTTCCTCCATTAAAGGGGGCAACCGTGAGTTCACAGTGAAGCTCGGAATGGTCTGTAATTCTTTCTCAATTCACGTTATTGCTGCTGTGCTTTATTGTTCAGTATAGTTGGCCTTTGGTTCGTGTGATTCACATTTTTTAATTTTTTGATTGTAAAATCAAGTGTAGTCGTCAGTGAAAACAGACTGCATTAATTATTGAGTTAACACTACTGGTCCTTTTATGTGTAGAAAAATGTCACTCAAGTTTTCAAAGAAAAAATATACCTGAAAATTTTTTTTTTTTATGGTTCCCCTTCTTCCACTGTCAAATTTTGCTAATTTTGCACCAGAAACTAGACAGAGTTCAAGAAGCTTTTGAGATTCAACACAACTCAATAAAATGAAAGTGCTGGATTTTCTGACAGCTCATGCGATCACATTTAAAAAAAAATAAAAATAGAAACTGCACTTTGAAATCCACAGAAACGGGAAGTCACTTTTTGTCTTGAAATTGAACTGTTTGGACACACAAACAGCTTGATGCCATTCATGGGAGGTGGACTGCTTGTCACTCAGTCAATTAAGCTGCACTTGTCGTCCCCAGCATTGTCCTCGACCACGCACAAACTCCATAAGAAGGGAATTTACCGTGAATACTCCCAACAAAGCCGGGCAGAGTCTTGAAAGACCCCAAACGTCATTCCTCCCGTCCACCTTTTGTTCTGGCCACCAGAAACCTTGACGCAGGGAAATTGATTTTTCGGCATTGTGAAGTACGTAATTCGATTTTTCTCTCCTTTTTCTCGTGGATATCTGATCGATTTTTGCGGGGACAGTGGCACGCGCTTTCCAGGGAAGAGCAGGCCAAGTACTACGAGTTGGCGCGCAAGGAGAGACAGTTGCACATGCAGCTGTACCCCAGCTGGACGGCCCGAGATAACTACGCAATACACGGCAAAAAGAAGAAAAAGAAGAAAGATAAAAACCCTAGTGACAACTCAGGTATGATCAATTACTGGTTTTTTGTATTTTTTGTTTTGATAATAATAATAATAATAATATAATTTACTCTTTTCGCCCCAATAGGGTGACTTTCCCATAGACTTGTGCACAAACCTAAACTGTCACCTAACCCAAGTTTACCTTATGTTTTTTCCACGAAATTTAGTATTTATACTAATTGGACCATGAGGAATCGATCTAGATGGTTAGCGACAGCAAAATTCCTTGTCCTAAGGGTCGTTTTCATAAAAGGGCGACAGTTATTTTGTCGCCTCAATAAGGTGTATCGCCCTATTGTGGATGGAGTTCGCAAAACCTGTCGCCCTATTACAGTAATAGTAGTAATAATAATACCAGAGTCTTACATGTATATAGCGCACGTATCTACCAGCAATTAGGTACTCAAGGTGCTGGTAATTATGTCTATTTTTTTTAAAAGCAGGACTGTTCTTATCAGAACAAAAACTACTTAGCAAAAGTTGATAATAAGCAGGACAAGTTCTTTTCAGAACTAAATATCTTCTAAGCAGTAGTTATTACCACATGGTGTTACCGCAAACCGAAACGATACCGATACTCCACCATGCAAAGCCTCAAATCTTATATCAGGTAAATGAAGTTTATGAGAAATGTGAGACCCATTATGTAGCACCTTTTATAAAGGATAAACATGGTGCTGCGGCGCATATTGCAGCCACTGCCAGAAACACCGGGGCCAACCCATTCTCATAGCGATTAGTGTTACTGGGTTCTTTATCGTGCGTTACACAACACACGGGACCTACGGCTTTACGTCCCATCCGAAGGACGAAGCAATAATGGTGTAAAGTGCCTTGCTCAAGAGCACAAGGACCATGTTCCCCACGGCACACGAGTCGAACACCGTAACCATTGGACCACAGCCCCCAACAATGATGGTTGATGGTTGTCCTTTATAATTTCCAAGACTTTCCAAAACCTCCCAACTCCCAAAATTTCCCAAAATCTTGGTCACCTTTCGCTCCTAAATGCTTGCGAAAATAATTAAAAATGAAACCTGCTGTTGTGAAACACTAGCTGGTTCTCTTGACACGTACCCATAAAAGACAACAGCCAAATTCTTGGGCAACTTCATTTTTTTTTCTGATCAGACCTCTCTGTTTATTCATTAACACAGACCCGGAACCATTTAGCGTCTAGCAAGGGGCCGGCTGTCGCCAGTAGGGCTTAATCATTAATTTCATTACGGTCCCGAAAATTGCCAAAGACAACCGAACGGCACATTCACATACACACTCGCACACACACACACCAGAGAGGGAACGCTCAGCACATTAACTTTGCATTCTGGAGTTGTTAATGTAGTGGGCTGACGCCAGTTGGTCAAGTCGTCTTCAACTTAATTTCTCTTTTTTAACTATTTTTTTCCCAAACCTGACCGTTTTTTTTTTTTTTTTTTAATCAAGCATGACCACCTTTTCATCAGACAAATCGTATGCGAGCAGGAGATTCTCGTAATGTTAAAGTAATTTAGCAGAGACAGCGTGCAAATGTTGGATATTTTTCAATACAATGTGATCCACGTTATTACTCAACCTACATTTGGAAAACCAAAGAATGACAGATTTTTCAAGTGATGTCCATATTTTTTTTTCTGTGACAAGGCCAAGTGAAGCATTGTTGCCTCAGTTATTCCTAAAAACTGTAAAAATTGCCAACTGATAAAAAAAAGGCCCGTACCCATGCCAGCTCATGCTCATGGGGTGGTGCTGTGGTCCAATGGTTATGGTGTTCGAAACCTGACGGGGAACGTGGTCCTTGTGGTCTTGAGCAAGGCACTTTACCATTATTGCTTTGTCCTTCGGATGGGACGTAGGTCCTGTGCGTTGTGTAATGCACGTTACACGTTAAAGAACCCAGTAACACTTAGCGCTAAGAGAAGGGGTTTGTTCCGGTGTTTCTGGCAGTGGCTGCAATATGCGCCGCAGCACCTTGTAAACCCTTATAAAGGTGCTACATAATGGGTCTCATATTTCTCATGAACTTCCTTTACGTGTCCTTAGAAATAATTACCAGCGCCTTGAGTACATAATTATTGGTAGATACGTGCGCTAAAGACTCCGGTATTATTCTGGTACCAGCCCATGCAAGACTGAAATTAAAGACACAGCTGTTCATTGGCTGTATCATTGTTTGTACAAATTTACACCAATTTCAGGTAAATTAAGACAATGTTTGGCATTAATTTTCAGCAACGACTCTTGCGTTTCACAGTTGCTTCGGTTATCAAAATCACCAACGTCACAATTACGACACTGTTAAATGAACAGATGGTGTTTTGAAAACAAATAGCGGGTATAAATAATTATTTCTGGTGTCAAGTTGGGGAACTATCAGTATTGTACATATGTAATCAAAATAAACCATACATATTTTGTGTCGACATCGACAATCTTTGAAGGTGACCTGAGTAAGAAAATAGTTAGATATGCCACCAAGAGACACATGATATTGACTTATTAATAAATACCCACAGACTGTTGCCAAAACCGAAACCGAAAAAAAAAATTAAAAAAAATAAAAATAAAGTGTTTTTATCTAACGATTTGACGGCACCCTCAGATTTTTTGCAATTCATTGATTCTCTTAATCAGTGGAACCGATGTGGATAAATCCCGCCACGAGTAAATATTCCCAGTTGGATAATTGCTAATGCAAACCGTTTAATTGAGTTAGTGGATGTTTCCCTTTTTTCCCTCACTTAACACAGTGAGGGATGTTTTAATATTCATGTTTCTCTAAGCGGTTCTTTGAAATTTGTATTTGGATTTTTTCTTTCTTTTCCCTTTTGACCAACAAGGTTATTTATGGTGTATAAAAATCTTTGACATGCATACATTGTAAGAGCAACATGTCAACTTACTCTGTTGTTCAGTTTAGACTATAGGTACATGTACATTGTAATAGAGCCATCATAGTGTTCATTACCAAGCAGAAGGTTGTTTTAAGAGCAGGATTCTCCATCAAGTTTTATACAGTGGGGTCTAAAAAAAGTTCGCACTTTTTCAGATATGCAGATTCCTCAAAATTGGGGAGACATGTTGAAATTGTTTTCAGATATTTTTAAACTACCAGATCTTGTATGGTGAAAACGGCGTTGAAAATAAAGCCTTAATTTAGAAATGACGGCCATTTACAGAAAAATGGTCAAAAATCAGTTTGTCCACATGCAAGTCTACGAGACTTTGTCAAAACAGTAGCACTGTGTGCACAAAGAAGTGCAATTACACAATTATGCGCTAACCCGGTAAGCACAGAATCTTTAGCTATGGGATATACCGGTACGCATGCGCAGAAACCAAAATTCCTTGCTAACTCACGAAATACATCTACGCTTACCGTAAGTGCGGATTTTTTGCTTAAGTAAGCAGGGATTTTTCGCTAACTGTAAGCAGAAATTGGGCCCTGTAGACTGGCCCTCTGGGACCAGCATAAAACAACAAACCAAAAAACAAGTAAACAAACAAAATCTACCAACAAACAAATAGTACAAGAAAAATCTTGTGCAACAATATTTTCCTGATTTGATGCTTGTGCGTATGTTGTTTTTCCCCCAAAATATGTGATTAACAGTGCTTTATTTCTGCGTGGCCGCTGTGAGATTTTTTCTTCTCCGAAGCTTCTACATTTGTGCGATATGCAGGGTGTTAAATATTTCATATAGAAAGGGGGCCCTGGGGGGTGGCCAGCGAAGGGGTGAACAGCCCACTAATCTCACTATTAATCCTCCCAGGAAAAGGTTACTCAGGGTCAGTCTTAAAATAAATAGATGTAACTTGGGGAGAAAAAGAGTTATTTGTGTTGTTAGATGTACCTGGTACATGTGAATAGTCAGTGGTTGAGGCATAGACTAGAGATTTCTTTTCTCATTTGTTTGTCTGATCCGAAATACAGGGCGAGAAAAAAAAAAAACAGAACCAACTGTCGGGACTATTGTTTGAGTGAAGTTCTGCATGTAGTACTTTCAAAGTCTAGGATATGAAGCCCAATTCATAAGCCTTCTTTTTAGTACAAGAATCATTCAAATCACTCATGTAATTTTCAAGTTACAGAATTTTAAACACAACCACCGTTTTAAAGTTCTGTCCACAGATCACAAAAAGGTAAGTGTCCTTTCAGCAAAACGAAAACAAACCACATAGGGATGTGTGTGAAGTGTTTTCATTTTGCTGAAAGAACGCACCCCTTTTTTTTGGTGTGATCGTGGACAGAACTTTAAAATGGTGGTTGTGTTTAGAATTCCGTAACTTGAAAAGTACATGAGTGATCTGAATGATTCTTGTACTAAAAGAAAGCTTATGAAATGGTCTTTCATATCCTAGATTTTGAAAGTGCTGCATGCAGAACTTCACTAAAACAATAGTTCCAACATTTGGTTTTTTTGTTTTTTTTTTAACTCGCCCTGTAGATCTACGGTACACAATAATAATAGGTTGAGATTTCTTTAGGGCTGAAGGATTGTTGCTGTGCCTTCAATTCTGGTTACAAGTTTTCAACAATTTTGGTTAAGGTTTTCAGGGTTGGTAGAGATTGTGGTTCTATTGATTAACCAGTAGGTTAGAGGTCTTGGGAACTTGGCCCATACCGGTACCCCACACCAGCCTTATCCAGTGGTCTCACCACAATTCTCCTTCAGGGTGGGGAACTTTTAAAAATGGTGGCTTTTGGCATTATTTTGGGGTGAGAAGATTTTTCTGTAAGGATGGAGAAAGTAAAAAGGTTTGCCGGAGTGATTCACCATTTCTTCAGTGAAGCCGGGGAAGGGGGGGGGGATTTTCCAGTTGGAGGAGGTGCCACCCTTAGGTATATCTTGTGAGACCGCTGACCCTATCCCACACCAAACCCAGCCCAGCCTTTACAAATGGGGAAATTGAAGCACATATATTCTTTGAATTATATGCAGCAAAACACCTCGTTAGCATTCCAGATCCTAATCTTCAAAAATTTGAAATACACAAAAA